ACTGTATGTAATTTTATTAAATATATACAATTTTATTTTAAACTGTATTGCTATTTTTAAAAAGAAATAAGGTATCCTGAATGAGTCAGGACACTTTGCTTTCTTTGTGGTTGGTGGGATACGGGCAACAGTATTTTAGTTTGGAAAGTGGTTTCTGTATTATAGATCCTAGCTTTCATACAATAGCATCAGGATGCTTGGGGTAAAACTGAACTTCAGTTGTGCTTGTGGTATACAGAGTAAAATGTGGCAGGAGGAACTGGTATCATCCATACCATTAGCAGGGAAGACTACGTGCGACGTGGATGTGACTACACCTCTCTCTCTTACTAAAAAGTGTTCTGTGAAAGCTTTGATGGATGAAATGTGATGGGGATCAATATCTTTGGACTCATCTAATGATGATCACAGGATACGGAAGATTGAAACTCAGACTGTAATGTGATCCAAGGGGAATGAATGAATGCAGGGGAATTTATTCTGTTAGTTAACATGAATAGATGAGTGGGCAGAATATAAAAAGTACATGAAAATTAGGTCATTCAGAGACCAAGAATGAATTAGAGTGATTGTCTGGTGAGTATATGCTGAGAAAAACATAACTTTGTTTTCAGCACATTGCTTAAGCATACATCTATTCATGTGTTCAAATGGCAAAGGAAGAAATTTCAATCTGAAATCATGATTGATTTGGTTATTTATGAGGAAAGACTGAAAGAATCAGTGAACAATACAAAGGTGATAAGAAATCCTGAATGCTAGACAAACACTTTTGGGGTAATGTTAAGAGTGAATCTTGGGAAAATGGACATGAAAGAAAAGAAAAGAAAGGAAAGAAATAAGAAAAATAGAACTGCAGTAAAAAAAAATATGAGCCCTGGATAACCAAATATGAGAAGACTGATCTCCAAACTGAATGAATGGAAAGTGGGCTTTTAGTTGTGGATGAGATAAAAACCACATATAAGAGAATGATTGCTGCAAAAAAATGAGGAGGGAATGTTACTATATAATATGTACAATGAAAAAAGATGCAAAGAATGCCATAAAAATAGCAATGAGTGGATAAAAATGCAAAATAATTTTTATGGAATACATTGCTTTGGAAGTGGGTGAAAAGAACTAAGCAAGAAGTTTCCAACAGAGTGAATGGAATTAAGAATCAAAATGATGAAAAGATTGGGATGAAACTGAAGTAAGGAAATGCCAAAAAGAGTATTCAGACATTTGTAGGGAATTATGGTGCTGAACACTGGAAGTGAAATAAATGCTGTAAATTTAGTATCAAAAAAAAAAAGGATGAAAAGGAAGTCATAAATACTGTGAGAATACTAAAAAATGGTAAAGGCTGCAGGTGATAATTGTGTAACTGAAGAAATGCTAAAATATGCTTATGGATTGCTTAAGGAATGACTCTGCAACTTTTAACATATAACTTGCATGAAAACCACAGTTGTATCTCATGAATGGAAGAGAGACATAATTTCCTTTAGATAAAGAGAAGGGTTACAAGAGTTAATGTGAAATCTATAGAGGAATTAGTTTGCTAATTGTGTCTGGCTCAATGTTTATCAGGATTCTCACTGAAAGGGTATGAAAGGGGTGCAGACTAGATTTTCACTGTGCAGCAGGTCACTGAATGTCGGATATGAATCTGGGAAAGAGTTTACAGAACATCTGTTGAGTATGAGAAAGCTTATAATAGAATAGGCTTGAATGGTGAAAAAAATTGCATAAATACTGTAGGGAGCTGAAAGCTGATTGCTGAATGGTTAAGAACTGTATATCATGTAAGTAGATTATGTATGAGAATAAATGGAATATTTAATGAATGGTTTAACACTGAGTAGAGAATAAGACAAGAATGCCTTATAGCCCTTTGGTTATTTTATGAATTTATGGATAAACATATAAGGAATGTGTGCAGTAACAATGAAGATGAATAATATGTATACGTTTGTATATAGAAGATCCATGTTGTTGGCAAATCCAAATGATTTGCAGAATCTTATACATACTGTATGATCGAAGGAAGAGTATAGCTCTGAAAACTGATGTACTGAAATCCAAGGTTTTTGACAGAGAAAATGGAGTGAATGATTGCAAATTATAGATACCTGGCAAAAAATTAGAACAAATAGATAATAAACATTCTACCACCTATCTTGGTAGAATGTTTATTAAAGATGGGGAAAAGGATGGTGCATGGCAGATCTTTTTAAAGTAAATAAGTGTTTTGTCTTCAATTTGGCATGTGTCGTCCTATTAAAAATGGCTATAATTTCAGCAGATTTAGGTCAATTTCAGTTAGCAGGTGAAAAAAGAACATATTATCAGGTAGGAAAAAAGCCACTGACATTGGTGATTTCCAGTTCTACTTAATGGAAAAGCAAGGAGGTTTTGGGTTTCAAATCATGTTTAAAATCTTAGCCTAAACTGAAAATATGGACTCTTTCCCTCCCTCAGCTCACCTAATCAAGGTCCAAACCTTTAATAATACACCGACATATATAACTCTACTGAGCTGGAAAATGATCTTGGTAGCCTTGTTGTTCAGCATAACAAGAGAAAACAGAACTGCATCTTTAGAGCTCTAAAATTAAAAAATGGGTGGAAGACGAGGAAGAGAAAAAGACAGTGCCAGCTTGTCAACATCTGAGAACAGAAAGTGCCTCACTCACCACACACAGAGCAGGAGCATGACTGACAGAAGTAGGGGATGCCTGCTTCTATCCCCACTACCACAGCTCATCCCGACCAGGGCCAACCGGACAGGCCCCACTGTGCCTTGATACGAGGCTAGGATTGCAGCTGCCCACTGGCCTGTCACACCATATTTTCTTCTTAGTGGGAGGGGGGCTCTGTAGCTTCTGCCCAATATTGCCGTGCTGCTGTCCTGCACCTGGTCATCGCTCTCCTGTTACGTGTGTGAGGAGTGAGCTGCACAAAATGACCTGGAGGGCTTTACGTTTGAGGCTTCTGATGTAGCATGTTTCAAGGAACAAATGTTTCTTGAAAGAAACGAAAATGGCTGGGTATAACAGCATGTTTTTCTGCCCACTTTGTTATATGGAAGGGAAAACTGGCTGTGTCAGAAGAAACCTAAAAGCTGAATGTAGTCAGAATGAGCTATTTAAGAAGTGTGTGAGGTAAAACTAGAAGAGAGAAATTCCTACCCAGAAAGTGACAAACATGGAATATTAAATAGCCATCAGATGAGCGTTACACTACTGTTCCTGGTATACTTACTTGCCAGCTTGGATACCCTCCCATGTCGATGACAGCTTGATGAGGATACGATCTTTGCTAATTCCTATTTCTTTATAAAGATCTATGAGTTGTCTGGCCCTCTTAACCATGCCTTCCTTATCAAAAGACAACCTTTAAAATAAAGGGATATATATTTTGTTTCATTACAATTTGTGTTAACTATGGTCAAGTAGACAAATATGCAAAGGAATGGGATGCAACGTGCATGCTTTTCCATTCTACTTGCCACACTTTAGCACTATGCTTGAGAAGGCAAACGTCATTATACGGAGCACAATGTTACAAATTCACAGCTTCCCCATATATGTGTCCATCATGTGCTATTTCTACTACTTCTGCATAATTTGATTATCTTAAACATTACACCCCACTAATACAGTAATTTGAACAACATTAAAGAAACACAAGTACCATTAAGAAAATTAATAAATATCTTACGATTGGGATAACAAAGGGCTTATTCAAAGGCCTTTCTAAACAATACCAAGGTCTTCAGCTGGAAGCCGTAAGAGAAACCATGAATGGTAAGCTAAGCAAAAGACTCCAGTACAGAGGTGCAAATAACAGGATGGCCCTCTCTCTAACCCATGCAAGACAGACAGACTGGCTTAACAGAACCAAAGAGGCTTTGGGCTAGAGTGGTTGGAGCCCCTTACTGGGTGTGTGATGTGATCAGATCTGCCATCTGTTTTTGGGTGGGGGTTTTTTTGGCTATGTTTTTATCTGGATTGTATATCTGTTAATCTGTTTTTATGCTGTGAGATACCCAGAGTCAACTGGAGTCAGGTGGTGTCTAAACTGAACAAATACACGCCTCCACTGATAAACTTCACAGACTCATACAGAAGATTATGAGAGCCAGTGTGATGTTGTAGTTACGATGTTAGACTAGAAGCAGGCAGACCCATATTCAAGTCCACCTTCAGCCTCAGGAGCTCACTGGGTGACTCTGGGCGAGTTACTCTCAGCCCAGCCTATCTCACAGTATTGCTGTTGTGGGTAAAAATAAGGGGGGATGCATGCTGCTTTGAGCTCCTGAAGTAAAGGCTGGATATAAATCTAACAAATACATAAATATAAATGATACTTGATCTTGATGAATTCAGAAAATACCCACCTTGCATCTACTTCTGTGGACACACGGCCAGGTATCCTCTTTAGTATTTCTGCCCCAAACAGTACAAAAAGCTTGTCACAAGCATTTGTAACTTGATCATCTTCTGACCTGGAATTATATAATTACCAAAATAGAATTTCATATATGGAGGGGAAAATGTGGTGCTAATGTGGCATCTACAGAAATAAATGAGTCAAATTGGAATGGTAATATGAATTCTTTGCACTATGTTCTGAACTATAGAGTCCGTTTGGTTTAGTGGTTAAGGCATCAGGCTAGAAACCAGGAGATGATGAGTCCTAGTCCTGCCTTAGGCACAAAGCCAGCTGGGTGGCCTTGGGCCAGTCACTCTCTCTCAGCCCTAGGAAGGAGGCAGTGGCAAACCACTTTTGAAATCTTGCCAAGAAAACCGCAGGGATTTGTCCAGGCAGTCACCAGGAGTTAATACTGACTCAAAGGCATGCAGGTACACACACACATTCTGAACTTCATTAACATTAATGTAAATCTCTAACTCCTGGGACAAATGTGATTGATGCAACATCAATAAAGGCCTCTACTTGAACCTCTGATTCATTCTCTAGTGGTGTACTCTATGTAGGGAGAGGGATTGAGCCACCTATTTCCTTCTTCCTTCTGCAATGAGAAAGAACTGGGAGTGGCTCGTAGTCTGCAGAAGGGTTTCCACTTCTTCTACCCTGCCATTATTTAATTTCTCAATCCTGGTTTAAGTCTGACAGCATAATATGTGAAGATGAAAGCCAACAGAGGCTGAGGACACATGCTGATATCCCAACTAGATGTCACAACTGCAAAGTTTGAACATTAGTGGGCTTACTCACCCACCAAGTTTCCTCCCATACGCAACAGCATCTTCTACCAGCTGCTGATAGGCTGGCATCTGAGCTGCAGCTAGTATCAGGGAAGGGTTGGTAGTAGCATCTAGAGGCTTGTACTCTTCAATAGCTGTGGAAACAAAAGCAGCAAAAAAGAACAAAAAAGGTGTGGGGAGGGTGGGTTAGCCTCTCAGCTTGATAAGAATTTTCTTAAGGATACGCAATATGATGGAGTAATGCAATTAATGTAGTTATTCCAGCACTATAAGTTACGTTTGCACATAACATGATTGAGAACTCATGATTAAGAAGAGGCAGATAACATTCTTAGTAAAATGCAAACTTGTAGCTAGGCTGTATTTGTATTTGAGAGACTCATTCAAAGCCACACAGGAAGTTAGATACCAGGAACGCTGCTCTCCATAACATCTTTCTTGCGATGTCCTGTATTGACTAACATAATAGTGATTTTTACCATCCCACTGCACAACAAATTTAAATACAGAAACAATCCACTAAAAGAAATAAGTCTAAGAAGACCAATATAACAGCAGAAAAAAAATAATCTGGAAAAAAAATGGCATTTCTTTGGCACCAAAGTGATAACAAGGTAAATTCAAGCTGTGTCAGTGGGGAGAATGTTACTAATGGGACATGCCTAATAAACAGGCCCTTCAGTAATGTGACCTCCTAGTCATAATTTGAAAAATGCAGTCAAATGCAGATCTACAACATTTGAATCTAGCTCAGAGAGTGATAATTAAAACAATGAATTGATGAACAAAAACAGGAAATTATAGAGATTTAATTAAAAAAGAAAAATCTACAAAACCCACGGAATGAAATGTATCCCTGCGGAAGAGAATTGGGCAGTGAATCAGAAAGTTGCTGACTGTTCCATTCTAAGCCACCCTCCCTCTCCTTGTGACCTAGAGCAGGGTTCCTCAACCTCAGCAACTTTAAGATGGGTGGACTTCAACTCCCAGAATTTCCCCGCCCCCCCCCACCGGGGGGGGAGTTCGGGGGGTGAGGTGGACCCCCCCTAGAAGTGGTTTTGTGGAGGGAACAAAGGGTC